AGATCTAGTAGGGAGCATGAAAACAAATCAATCAGGATAATTTTTGTCCGGTTAAACACATCACCTTAGTTTTAATTGCCTTAGGCAAAGCAATTGTGTTTTGGAACAGATAAACTTTTCTTTTTCTTCTGCCGATCTGGCATGACTTTATCTAAAAACCTGCACTGTTTTGACATCAGATGGCTAAAATGGAAAGACTAGATTTAGTTAGTATCAAGTGTAAAAACTGAATAGTGATTTGGAAAAGTGGATATGTGAGATGATTGAAAGACGAATATTCACTGATTTGCTAAATTGGTTATGAGGAGATATATTGCAGTGTAGTTCAGGCTCAAAAGACTAGACAGACGTGGAAACTAAGTATATGGGGAAACTTCTTGACATAACAAAAACCAGTAAAACAGGGAGTTGAAAACAGGTGAAATGCCACTGCTGGAATTTTTTGAATGAGGCTGAATATAAAACAGCAAACTTATCAATGGGCACTGAAAGATGGCCTGTGGAGGTAACAGCATATAGAGCTTTGAAACTGTTGCAAACGAGCCCCTCTTACAATTCCTGGGAAAGCAGAAATTGTCCCTCAGCTCTCAATTTTTGCGTAGGAGAGCATACATGAGCCGGTCTGTTCTGTGGGATCTTCTAAAGTACTCGCAGTCTCTCTGGCTAAATTTGATTAATCACAGTGAAGTGGAAGTCACTTGTGTATCTGGCCTCCTCTCAGGTGTTTTAAGAATTAACTACCTTCTTCCCAGATTGTGGGATGTAATTTTACTAGTTTGCCATTTCCAGCTTTGCAAATTAAACGACAAGTCAGTGAGGAGTTTTGAAGTGCATTCTGCCCACGAAGCCATGTCTCTGGTCAGCTCCGTTCGTCTCACAGTCGCTGAATGCTTCTTGATTTGCACTCAAAAACCTCCCTCCTTAGGAGTCAGCTGTTGTGGTGCCAGTGGTGGACTTCAAATACTGGGGTGAAGAGACCTTGAATACAGAGGCTGTGCCTTGTGAGAAATGTGTGGCGATTCCCAAAATGTCTTCTGATTCCAGGTGTAGTCAGCTGTGTTTATGTCCATTGAAACTTTTATGGCGGTAGGTGGCTTAATTTTTAGCCAGGACTTTCAATAGTCAAGGCTGAATGAAACAAGTCTGCCTGAATCGGTTTGGATCTAATCAAATAGTGCAGGTTTTGGGTGTCTGTCAGATGTAGGTAAGTGTTCTTTGACTTGACAACATTGAGATCAAATTATTTGAGGATGCACAGTGATTTTTTTTTTTTATTTTTTTTTTAATTGCCAGATACACGTCTTCATTTTGATTAGAGTGTCATAAACACCCAGCCTCTTGTTTGTGTCTGGGAGCAGAAGGGAGTGAGAGGATTTGCTTTAATGAGAAAGAATCAGTGCTGATGGGGGCCCCAGAAGTAATAACCGTTTAATTTTTCAGAAAAATTAGGTGAATTCTAGCCACTTAGAATGAAGCATGTTTTCCTGATCTGTCTTGATTAGGATCTAATTGCACAGTACCAACTTGGCAAATATTGTCTTGTTGACTGTTCTCTTGCTAACTGTTTAGAAGAACAATACCAAAAAACCAAAGGAAAAAATCAGTCTGCTCAGTATGAAATATTGCCTTATATGCTATACTTTCAGATTCTGTCTGATCAATACCATTTGCAAGATGTATTGGAACGATCTGATCAGGTTATGGCTGTGGCCAAAGACTTGTTTCGGAATGCTCCTCGCACACGAACAGGTAGACCATCTCATTTATATGTGGTAGTACATTTAATGTTATCTCCTTGCTCTGCATAAATAGCTTCACTTTGCAAAGTATTCTTTTTAGCTGTTTTCATCTCATCATCTAACATAGTATGATTGATCCTGTTCATGTTGGATGAAACACAGATGAGGATAACTCCTCCTGTGGCAGGGGAGAGTGAGTTGTGGCTGGTTATTCTACTGTATCGGTCTATTGTGGAATTTTGGATCCCTTACTGTGAAACACCTGACATTCACCATTTCCACAGCCAAGCTACTGGCATATACTGAGCACCACTTCAAGCCGCTGTAGTAGTTCTGGTTCACGTTGCTGCATGGGTTGACTGCTTGCTCTTGGATATTGTTGGAAGATTTATCATCTATTTGTGAACAAGGCATTTCCTTTTCTTATCTTGGTTTGCGGGTCCTTGTGCTACTGAAAGGCAGGAATGGCTGTTTGGATGTGAAATCTTAAGCTTAGATTCTTTTCTCTGTAGGCTACCATTCTCTTTTGCTTATAATGACTGTTTCATCCTACATGCTGCTTCTGCACAAGTGGATTTACATAGGTGAGAAGGAGAAAAGCCTGGTACACAGCCGAATGTGTTAAGATAAAGTCTATGGTTGGTCTTTGGCGGTTGTTTAAAGTGACATACATCCCTGTGACCATTTTTGTACAAAGCACAGGAGCGTGCTTTTTGGTACAAAGTCCTGTGATGTACTGCAGATCGGGTCCTCCGTGTTCTTCCCTATTTTGTCTGATTCCTCTAGGTTTCCCTAATGTAACAATGGCTCCTAACTGTGACCTAGAATCATCTCAAGGGCCTATTGTACAAAAATGCGACCCTCCCACTCAGCTTTCCATCCTTAGTGAACCTGTCATGGATTCCCAGGTAATGTATATTCAGTTCCCTGCATGTCCTGTAGCTTTTTTGTTTGCACAAAATAAGAATATTCAAAGGTAGAGTTTCCAAGCAGATCTAAACTTTTCTTCTGTGTTTTGATAGCATGGTGGTAAATACATAGAAAATGGTGTTAAATGGAGGTGAGTTTGTTTTGTGAGACTCTGGGGATCATGATTTTTTTTTTTTTTTTTTTAACCTTTAAATATGAGACATACCAACTTCTTATGTCTCATAGAAGTGCTCTCGTATTACCATGCTCTCCCCTTTAAATTCTGGAATTATCAGCAACAACTCTTGGGTCGCTTAACTAATAGCTACATATCAAAATATGCCTCTGATTTTTCTAATTGTGTCTGCATATATGGGGACATAGCCACCTGGGTTCCAATTTATTTCTGATAACACTCATGTAAGTGTACCCCAGTTAACTCCACAGGCTCAATTAGTCCTACAAGTAAAAGAATGTGAAGTATTAAAAGTTAAACAATTATTTAGGTTTTTTAAAAAAGTTTTTAAATTGTTTACGTTTCTTTAAAATTTCATTTAGATCACTTTTTTGTGCTGTTTTCTCTTCATAACATGAGTTGTACTTGGAACGCTCACTGTGTTTTGAAAAGAGGCATAATGACACTCCTGGAAAGTAGCTCACTGATGAAGACCAAAAGGGCTGTGGGAGTGAAAGTGATGGTGTCATATTCTCATGGTTCTCTAATCCTTTTTCCTACTATCTTGCACAAATATCTGCAATTTGAGTTGCAGCACTGCTCTATCATGTATTTTGATGTGGTATTTGTTTTGGGCTTTTGTTTGGGTTTTGTTGTTTTGTTTTTTTTTTTTTAGTCTGAAGAGTTAACTGTAGTGTCTTTATAAGCTCTATCACTGGATGTGTGCTGCAAGATAGGCTTAATTTTTTTTAAGACACGTGTACTGAGAGTTGTCTGGTGACTTGCTGTGACATTTTCTTTTCCTTATGTGCCTACAAAAATCATAGTTAAAAGGCTATCTGGTGAAGCCTACTCAGAAGTGCAGAAACCTGGTAGTTTGAGGAACCCTAATTCCAAATTTGATTGCTTAAGTTCTGCTATGGATGTGGTATGTAGGATTGTATTTTGTTCTGGTTCCATTTTACACACAGGATATAAATGTAATATTGCAGATCTCATTACAAGGTTGTTTAGCTTGTAATGTCAAACAGCTGAAATTTTAGAAATGCTATAATTATGTGGCTTTTTCCACCTTCTGCCTGCTATATCTCTGTATTTGTTTTGGTACAGTCTTTAAAGTGTTTCTTATCCTACACTGTGTGTGGTCTTTCTATTAAATAGAAATCATCCAAATAAAATATTGGATATTGAATTAATCACTTGCTGTGTTATTTTTGGAGACAATTGTCAGCATTAGTATTTCTTAGGTACTAAAGTCCCCAAAAACTCTTCCCACAGAGGGGTGTGGTTTTCTTTCTTTTTAAATTTTGTTTTGGAGGTAGAGATGGAAACAAATGTGGTTGGTTTGTTTGTTGTTTTTTTTTCTTGAAACAATTTCAGAAAAATTATCTTTAACTTCTTCCTAAAGACAAATTGAAATTGCTCTGAAGTCCCTTTTTTTTTTTCTTTGTTGTCTCCTGAAAAGGCTCTTAAAGAAGTGGAAGAGGAAGCATTATCAATCTATCAGTCAGAAGATGGACACCGTGACTCTCTGAATTTCAAATCCAGCATCAATTCTGACAGGTCAGTACAAATATATCCACTCAGGTTTCCACCTTTACTGGAAACAAATGGAGTTAAAAGGGTGTTGCATGGGTATAGTCATGTTACTTTTTCTGTGTCCCCCTTCTTTCCTGAACTCAGAATTCTAGGGAAACCCCATTCAGACTGGGAATGAATGTGAGCAGGGAACATACCTGAGCAGTTACAGATATTTTAGAAAGCTCTTTCTAGACTGTACAGATAATCTAGAATCATGCTATTATCCTATTAAAGTTCACTGTTCTGCTTGTTTTGAATGTAGGCTACTTCGGTTATTGAGAGAAGAAAATTCCTTGGTGAATTCTCAGTTGTGGGCTGAAAAGGATATGAGAAAAACTACCTTATCACAGGAATCAAATGTGCCTTTGACTCCAACAACTGTTTCTCCATCATTGGATCAGTCAGGTTGGATTTGCTAAATCACAGCCTCTCGAGGGTTGTTAGGCTCTTCACAGGATCCTCTCTGGAATTCCTTTTCTGGGTGGGGGTGAGACGCATGTGCTAATACGGCTCAGATGAATTTCCAGACTAAAAAGCCAGCTCTTCTAATAAAATTACTTTATAACATATTACTATTAAGAACATACCCAAAATATTTCATGTGTGTATTTTCTTGGTTTTTGTGTTTAATCAGCACTCAATGCTACCGATGTAGTCAAGAGAATCCATTCAAGACTTCAGAATGAAGACAAAGAAGAGACTCTAGACTCCACTTACACTGTGAGACAAGTGCTGAACCCGAACTCAAGGAAACAAAAGCAAATTGCAGCGAAAAGTTTAGTACTTTTAAAAATAGAATACCTTCCTTTGGCCAAGGTCCTCAGTATCATAAGAAAGTGTAGTTTGAAAGGCATCTTTGGATGTTGTCACAGGGCTAACTCCGAAGTTTGATTATGGGGACCTTGTCCAGCCGAGTTTTGGCCATCTCTAAAGATGGACATTCCACAGCCCCTTATGTAGTGTATTCCCCTGTATTCTGCACATTCATTGGCAAAGCAGAGTCCATAGGAATCTGGGAACAATAAATGGCCCTTTGACGCTACCCGTTACCTTGCTAGCCACGGAATTCTCTCCTGTAGAGGGCTTTTCTATTTCTGGTATAGCATTCTATTCTGTGCTGCACAGATTTAGGATGCTTTTCAGTCCCCATATTCTACACACATTTGTACGTGGGGACTGACATCAGATACAAACGGTAACGTGAAAGTATTGTTGTAAAAGAATGGCTCACTAAATATGAGACCTGAAAGCAGATGGTATTTTTCACAGGCTGTTCACTGGCAAACTGTTTCCATGCTTTTAACTGAGAAGGAGGAAAGTATAAACAGGTATCTAAGATAAAAGCACCAAACAGTCATATTTGAGAGGTACTAACGTGGTAGCAGAAAATGTGGTTTTTGATGATCTGAAAATAACTGGAATGACTGGGGATGTTCTTTGGTCCGTTTCAGCTCAGGGCAAGAGAGGGCCTCTCCTTTTGATTTGCTTCAGTAAACAATGTAATTTCATTGGTATTGCAAAGCTTTCTATACAAGTTGAAATTCCAATGATTCTTTCCCCCCCAACCTCCAGTGAAAAGAAAACAAACCACACAGAACTCTGCAAGACAGAGGAGAGATGGTTCTCCAGCTAATTCAATCCCCATTGACCTTCGGAGGGACAACAGATCTGGCCTAGATGTTCTCAACCGCATGATTCATGAAGTGGAGCATGAATTGGAGGAATATGAGCGATGTACAGGTCGTGAGGTTCAAAAAACTGAGAGAAGTGAAGGCCTCACTGGATTTACCTTGTCACTGGTGAATGCTCTCTGTCGTTTGATGCGCTACCTCAGAGAGGTGAGAAGACTTTGAATTGCTTCTGTAGAGTGAATGAAAAAGGGTATAAAGTTACTTTACAGATGTGAATTCTGGACTTTCCTGGCTCCCAAGCAGTTTACTGTGAAGTCTGACTATCATTGCTTACTGTTTGGATTGCATGCAGCTAGAAGTTAAAACTTCTAGTTTGCTAGCAATGGGTATCCCTAATGAAAAGGGAGGAGTAGTTGACTGCAATGAAAGTCTCTCAGTGACTATTAGCAGAAAGTACCAATTGAAATAGTTTTAAATTTGTTATTTAAATAAATTCAGAGTTGTAACAGGGTATTAACAACAGCCTTTCTCACAAATTCGTTTTCTTCCTTTGCCTCCCAAAGGCGATGCTATTGGCACCAGAGCAGTGGACCCAAATCCCCAATTTTCTTTGAGGGATTCCCTAGCGCTCTTTTTCTATCCATAGCAGCAACTTCACCTTAAGCAAGAATGACCTGAAGTGCTCACTATAGCAATGCACAGCTGGAGATCAATGGAATTCCATAAAGAAGACTACTTGTAAGCCACGTAGAACTCCTTTTTAAAAAAGGAAAGAGAAAAAGAGTGTTTCTTCTTCCCTCTCTAACCCAGAGTTGCTCAAGATGCAGCAGTGTCTCACAGATTCATTATGCCCATGTAAAATTTTGAACCAGATTATGGCAATTCCTGCGCTCTAAATAAATGCAGCAGAGTATGTTATCTAAATCCCAATGCTCCATTTCATAGAGAAGGCAATAGATTCCCAATGAATGTGGAACTGACCTATTTTGGTTCCTTTTCAGAGTATATACTAATTGGGGAAAAAAACCCCTCTTATTTAAAAATTGGATTTTTTTTTTTTTTTTTGTCTGGATGTATAACAACTTATTCCTTCTATTACCCTGTATTTAATCTTTATGGAAGAATTTACTTTAAGACCTGTCTTGGAAGCAAACACTAAACAGTCAGTTCAAGAGTGAAAAGCCACTACCATCAGAAGATGGACTGTGGCTGAGGAGAATTTACGTTTTAAAAGAAGTTAAGAATGCTTGTTCTCTGTTAAAGTTGTAATACCAAAGCAGGATATTAAATTTTGTTCTTTTGCAGTTACGGAAAAGGATCTGGATTTCCAATAGAATGTTTTCCATTTATTAGGGAAACGTCAATTTAATAGCATTGAATTCATGTTATATCTATAATAGCAGTTATAACCCTATTTAGATTGTCTTTAGTTTGTGTTCCACAGAAATGAGTTATTCTTGAGCCGCAGGCTTCCTCCAAAACTACTCCAGATTTTCTTTGTTGTTTTTTTCTTTCTTAGTTGCTGCTTTCTCTTTATGAATCTAACATTCAATGTATTGTAAGAGCTTTTATCCTGTTCAGACAGAAGACCAAGGAGTCTGAGTGTTTAAGGAGACTACTTATTTTGAAAGATGTATACTGACTCTTGTATTCCCAATTCTTACTGAGTACCTCTCTAATGTTGTTTCTATTTTATTAGATATGTTACCATTACTTCAAGGAGTTGATTGTTGCTTGCAGAATTGTCTGCAACTTTTTTAGATTTACTACTTAAATTAATGAGTAGAAATATGCAGAAGTTGCTCAAGCTAAAAAATGTGGCTAATCATATTCAGAGTTGCTCAAGTTAGACAGCGTGCATCCATAATCTTCACTGACTTTTCCCCTTTTCATGGAGCTTTAATTACAATTAGAATTCAAGAATTTACTGGGAAGAAGCACAGCTTGTCTGAGTACTTCCTGGTCCCTGTGATGCTAGGAATAAATCAGGTGCTTGTGTGCACCATCTGTCTTGCCTAGCCAGGAGAGTTAGCAGTGTTCCAATACCTGAATTATAGCTGGCCGTGCATTTCAAGAAAAGTGACTTTGCAGCGGTTATTTAAAAAGCCTCTCATTTCAGGTAAGAAATCAGTCTTCAAGAGGTTTTGAAGCTTCTAGAAAGACTTCCTTCCTCTTCTGGGGAGGAAAAAAATTTCCAGCTTTGCTGCAGAAAAGTTGAATGCAGAAGAATTACCATCAAGGATGTTGCTTAATTTATTCTCAAAATTATATCTAAAAAGTAGGAAGAGACACTTGAATTACTGAATCTTTCATGAAAGTTGTATTAATAAGCGATTAAAAAATCAACTCCCACAAGAAGCTAGTGGATATAGAAGAGGCTAGAGAGAAGGGGAAAAAAAACCTTCTGAAATGCTTGCCAAGCTATATGAAATTCTTACAGGGAGGTGGATGAACACGACTTGGTTCCTAAATGAATTTCAATGTCATCTGCCAAATGTTAGAATTAATATTTTTTGTCTCCCATTCTACTAAGAATGCTATTTCTTTGCCAGACTCACAGGGCAAAACGTTAGAGTATACACCTGCTACGTTAATCTGTGTTGCCATGTTCTCTATCTCTGCTTCTGCATATTCTGATACTGTGTTAAAGCAAAGTTTATGAGATTAGAGGTATAACTGGCAATGGGCTGGAATGAAGATACTTCTTTCAGGGTACTCCAGACCCAAATCCTACCCAATGGTAGGAATGGATGTATACAGCTGTTAGCCCTGACGCTTTCCCCATGCATAAATGTAAGACACATAGCTGCTTAGAAGCTTTTCCTCCAAGATTAGGTCAATGCTATGTAGGATGAGTAGATACAATAGCTCATCCAGATGATCTAAGGCATCAATAGGCTTCATCACTGCTACCATGATTAAAGTTCTTATTTCGTGCTGTCTTTGGTTTCTAAAAAGTCCTTTCCATTTTCTGCACCAGCCTGCTTCACTTGGATCAATACAGAAAAGCTGTTCTCTGTAGGTGGAAGAGAACCAGAAAAAGGATGGCTTGTCTCTGATACGCTTAAAGGAGGCATTTCTGCCTGTCTTTGTGTCTAGTGACAGTATCTGTGGTTTGTTCTTAAAATTATTTATTTATTCATTCACTTTACGTGGTTGCAGAGCTGTTGTGTCTTAACACTTCTTCCTTGGGGGTTTTTCAGTTCTGGTCCCAATGTCAGCAGAAAATAATCTACAGTGTGTTATGGGCAGCTCATGCTCTGATTTCATCTGTGCAGCAGAAAAGAGTACCCCAACTGCTTTTTGGGATCACTTGTGTTTTGGAGATGGGATGTATTTCTCTTATTCGGGGATTTCTTTGAGTAAATGCAGGCAACCATCTGGGGAAGGGCTCCATCTGCTAATTCTGATGTGGATGTGACTTTGTAGCCTCCACTCTTTTAGCTACACTGGTCCAAAAAGTGGCAGTTGTGTATTCCATTTACCCATTAGAGGTAGAAGGGACTCTTTTGTGTCTTGTATAGGAAACCTGGCTACTGCAGTGGTCTATCTTAAAATAATAGATTGATCTTTTTAGATCTTTACTGTAGAACCTCTTGCCCTTTAAGGTCTTTTGCCCCATGCTCAAGTAGATTACTTAACTAATCGACCTTTTTGTTGTCTTTAAACAAATAAAATAAATGAAAACCTCTAGGGCTTTTTTTTCTCTCTGAGGGAAAACATTAGAAAGCAACTACTTGCTCCTTTATTTAGTCAAATTTGTATTCATTAATGAATTAAGGGAACTAAAGAATAGGCACAAGTAGCACAGGATGCTAAGTATCAGCACACCTGGAGTTACTTGATTACTGCATGAAGATTTGGTGACTTACAGAACAGTATCTGTGTGGAGAGACAAAGCTTGTAGTTACAGCCTGTAAAAGTTATAAAGGCAGAAGAACAAGGATATATAGGATTTACTACAGTGTCCTGGACTAACAAAGAAGAAACAGTAAGCTCTCTGACAGTTCTCAAGCCCTGAAAATTGGATTTTGTCATGGAAGTAATGAAGTCAATTTAGCAAAAGGGGGAAGAGCTGTTACAGTAAGATGTGATATGGACCTGTTCCTGTTTCCAAATATAAATCTGTAGTGGTTATAGTAGGTTTTTAATTTTTTTCTCCCTCTTTAGAGTGAAATGCAGCTGCGTGAGAAAGAGGTGATGAGACAGCAGCATGAGGAGGTGTTGAATGAACACAGAGAACTGATTGATGCTCTGACTGCAGAAATACTTCTAGTGAGGGAAGAAAACACTACTATACAGGTAGGGAGCCCCCATCCCCCTCCGAATGACTTGTTAGAATACTGAGTTGTGGTGTTGCAAATATGTGCTAAGATGCATTGTCATATGTTCAGGAGATTTGAACAATAAACAGGAAGAAAATTACAAAATTGAATGAGGAGTCTGAGAATAATAGTGGGGATAATAGTGGGAAGGAATGTTTGGAAAGTCAACATTTTAAAGCCTGAGAAAATGCTAGCTCCATTAAACTGAGCTTTACTTTATCAGTCTAAAGGTTTAAGCATCTGCCTCCCCATTTTTATACTGTTAACACTACTGGAGCAACAGAGTAGACTAGATGTAATACTACATTTTTCTTTTTTATCAGGTTGCAGTGGGGGTAGATTTGTTCAATGGTTACATTTGGGAATGAAGCAATAAAGCTGCGTTGGAGAGGAAGTGGGGTGATGAGTTAGGAAAATAGAAAAACAAATAATTTCTTTGAGGCAGTAGAGAAAATAAATGAGAAACGTGGAGACACCAATATTTAATACCTCAGTGGAATCCCACAAATTCATGCAGTGGTATTAAGGGACAAAATTTCTTCTCAGAGCTGCCTGTGGTATATAATCTAAATCCTGTTTCTAGAATACAGATTTCTGTATATCTCTTTTTTGATTTCCTTTGTCCTTCAGGAGAAGCTTCAGCAATACATGAAGGTAACAGATGAACAGTTGATCTCTCTCACACAAGCATTTAAAGGCCTCCCTTTCATAGAACCTAGAAGAGAACAAAGTCCAAACCATTTTGGAATTGCAAGTAAAGGTCCAGTGAATGGCCAAGGTATGTGCATGCATGTGTGAAGGATGAAATGGGGTTGTGGCTAGTTTATCCCTGTAGTGGAAAATTTGGTATTTAATAGATGTCTACTTGAATAACTAACTCTTGCATGAGCATGAATCGCACTTGTGGAATTTCATGTGCCATGGGTTCTGCTGTGACCACAAGCAGTTTGCTACAGATTATTTTTTAACAATATTCTAGGTTGTATTCCATCCCCACTGGCATCCTTCTGTCTGCATCAGGACTTCAAGATTAACCTTTTAGGCAAGTCCTGGGCTTCAGCTTTAAGTGATACCTAATATATTAGAAAAAAAGAAAAAGGGGGGGTGGGGTGGCTGGGAGGAGAGTAATCTTCATCCATTAAGATGGTTTACAAAGTCTAAGGGTTCTCTTTAAGAAAAACAAAACAAAACCCAAAAAACCCAATGGAATCTTACGGTTGGAAAAAACTGAAAACTGAGTTTTACGGTTGGACTCTTATGATCTTAAAGGTCTTTTCCAACCAAATGATTTTATGATTCTATGAATCAGGATCTCGCCTTTCTGTTGCTGAGGCAGCCTGATATGTATGAGATTTCGTTCTTCTATAAGACACTGGAGGTCGCTGCTGACCAGAAACAGCAGCTACTGAGGCCTGTTAATTAACCAGGCAGAAGTCTGTTTCTTGATATTTGTGACTTTATTTCAGAGGTGAATGACCAGTTGAATGATACATAATATAGATGTAGGCTAAGTTAAGCCAGTAGCATTGATGGCCAAACCAAGCAAACATGATTCACCTTGTACTTTTTACATTGTTTCACCATGGAGTTTTCTCCCAAATGTCTTCCCTGATTAGTTGCTTAAATGCCTCATTTTTGCTCTTAGGTCAGTAACTCCTTGTGAAACTCAAGATTCCTTGGAGCTATTTGCATTTGTTAATTAGATGTTGGTTTTGTGGAGATTCTTGTGGTCAAAAACTTTCTTTCTGACTGTTTCTGTGGGATTCTCGGGAAGAAGCCATATACCAGATTCCTTTTTCATGATTTACCTAGGCTTTGTAAAAGCAAACAAAAAAGTTTTACCCCAAAATATAAAATCCAAACAAGCATCCCTCAAAAAAACCCCCACAAAATCCCACAATTCCCCCCCAAAACCCCAAACCTTCCTATACAAAAATTCTGCAAAGAATTCTGCAAAGACTTTCCAAATCTTATTTCCTCATTGGTCTCTCTTGTCAGGAAAAGGCATCTTCCTGAGATGAAAGCTTCCTAAAGTTAAAAAAAAATTTCTTCCTCCTCCTTCAGAAGGAGATCTCTTATATGCTTAAGATGTCTAACTGGGTGTGAAACATTTGAGATGGCTAGTTTTAGCACAGAAACCACGTGGAAGTTAACATAGGACTTCTCTGGAGAGACAAGAGCGGCTCAGAGAGGAGTGGGGAGTATATCATAGTGACAAGTAGCATGCGAGGATACTTTGGAAATGCAGTTCTGTACAGTGAAAGAGGGCAGGAAGATGTTTCTCATTTCTTGCCACGGTCATTGAATAGTGAGTGGCAGGTTTTAAGTTCAATCTCAGAACCTCAGTAGTGTGAACCACAAGCAATGTTTTACGCAAACAGCCTCTTATGGCTCTTTGCCTTTGAAGGGTGCTTTTTGTCTCTTGCATTTTGGGATCAGGTATGTCTGGCTAATTTTCCACTTAGTTTTATTTTGAGAGCAAATGTCCTGAACAAAGTTGTGGAGAGAGAATTAAAAGGTACCACTGATGGAGCAGTGGATGTAAGCATGTTAAAATTACTGTGGTCTCATAGCTAGCTACAACTTTGATTTCATGATATTTGTTTTGTGCCTCCCTGGTATGTTCAAAATAGATGGCAATGTAGACACAAGCTAGTTGTAGTTAAATACAGAAGAATAACTTTTTTATACCACAAAGATGGCTGATTTGAAGTCATAAAACGATCATCAGAGAGCTCAAAAGAAAGCTTTGAATTGTTTTCTGCTCTACCTTTGTTGCCATCAAATTTATAACGTAAGTTCATTGAAACAAGTGCGTAGGTCTGCTTTTCTCAAGAGAATATTGCCAAATGCAGCTCACTGAAATACCTATTCCTCACATGTCACGTGTCTGTAGGTCTTGTGTATGGGCTACAAACAGATCTCTTACTAGTATCCTGAAATTGTGAGGCTACATAGAAGAGCTCTTCTTGCTCTTAAGGCCAGTGAAAATTTGTGTTATGCTCCAGTGAGAGAGTTCTGTACCTGGGGATCAGAAGGAAATTAGCAGTATGTGGGGAACATACTCTAGTCTGTCTTTTCAGATACTCAAACGTAAGAGTTGTTACTGAGAATTTTCCCTGTTGCACTAAAACTGTTGGTTTTTTTTTTTTTTTTTTTTAAATTCTTTCTCTGCTTTGTCTCTTTCTTTAGAAAAACCTGATTTGAGCTATTTTGAGCCTAGGGCTGATGCAGGCAACAGGGAAGGTATGCTGAAATTCCCACAGGAAGAACTTCCTTTCAAGTTTCTCCAGAGGTCAGGTGCTTCAGGTGGTGCAGGAGCTGGTAGAAGCTTGCCATCTCACATCTTCCAGCCAGCCGTGCTATTGTCACCGCCCCGGCAGAAGAGCAGTCAGGAATTGTCTCCCCTCCAGAATGGTGAGATCTCTGGGTGTAGTAGACTTGAGTGTCTGTGTGGTGTGTTACTGTTTCAATCTCTCACTACCTTTGGAGAGGCATTTTCTGTGGAAAATTTTTAATCTGTATGCTTAGACACATTGGCTCTACAGTTGGAATATCCTACTTCTGCATCCAGATATGCACTTCTTTTGTTTCTATGCCTGTTGCTAGATTTCCTTTAGACTTTCTGTCCCCTGCAGTTCTCCATCTGCTGCCTGCAGTCCTGTCAGTGGCAATCCAGACTGGCATTTTTATTTTGGTTTTGATTGTCGCTTCTGTATGATCTGCAGTAGCTCTTTGTCTGTGACATACAGTACATCATCTCACATTTCAATCTGCTGATGGTGTAGTCCAGCCTCCATCACCTTTAATGGTAGAACCACTGAAGACTAGAAATTCAATGCCTCTGCAGCCAATGCTGCAGATAAACCAGGATGTCTGTAGGCTGCGTACTCTTGCTTTGAGCCAATTTTCCCAGCAGAGGTTTCTCTAAAAGCTTTGGGAGCAGGTTTCCATTGGGTTTCATTTAATCCACCGGAAGAAGTTTTGAGTGAAATTATGTGGTGCTGGATAACCAGATTCAGTTGTGTCAGAACCCATAGGCTTCAGGAGTTTTATAGGTTGGTAGCTCAATTCTGGTTGTTCATCAGGGTGATTAGGGGAGGGATTTCTCATTTAAACTGAATGAACTGAGCAGAAGGGAGGACCCTTTGTGACTCTCAAAATTAGCTATTTCCTCCTGCAATTGTAAACACATGCATCTTACTGAATGCACCAGGGCCCTGTAACCCTGTTGTTGAGAAGCAGGTAGTTATTGCTATGGCGAGCTTGGTGGTTGCTGACAGGAAGTAGGATACAGTAGTGGGGTTTTGTGCCTTCTCTCCTGTTTTTTCTTCCCCTTTCAGCTGTGTTGCTTTGTAAGTCTTTCCCAAGTCAGAAGATTAACCCAAAAGTCCTTTTGCTTTAAGGAGTTGACAGCACAATTGAAAGTCTATATCTACTTCAAGCTTTTGGTGGTCACCTATGCTGCAAGGAGGCACATAATAATTATCAGGAGGAAGTGAACTAAAGACAGATTTCTGCAAAGAACAACATCTGGCATCAGTCCCATTGAGATCTGTCAGATGTTGTCTGTCATTTGAAACAAGTATATAAAACTGTATTCTTAGACTTCATTATAGTTTAGTTGTGTGAAGAATGTATTGTTACTCTTTTAAGACTGTTAAGGATGCTAAATGGCTCAACAAATGTTAAGCTTCTTGAATGTTTCTTTATGAAAAAATACTCATAAAACAGATGTATGTGTAAATTTAAAAATATGCTCTGCTCAGGAGGCAAAAGCTAAAGCTTGGGAAGGAATGGGCTATTTGGTATATAAAACAAGGAAAATCTGGATTTTTGTGATCAAAACCAGCTTGGACTTAACATGTAGTAGCTGACAGCGCTGTAACGTATTTGGTCATATGTGTGTGGTGTGTTATCAGTTTTCTAATGATGACCACAAAAAATACCTAACTACTTTTGTTGGCTAGAGCGCTTCCCCTTCCTTAGTGGCTGAGTAAATAGCTAGTTTATTATTATGCCAAAAGTCTTGTATTATTTTGTTTTATTATTCTAAAAGTTTTGGTACCAACCCAGTATAAATATGAGAACTAAAGCACAAACTTTCAGTTTATTAGGTAATATTGGAAAATGGAGGAGTAACTAAGTAGTAGTGTTTGATCTGTCAGCACAGAAAATCAAAACAATTTATCTTCTCTCTGACTTCTCTCAATCTCTAATTAAATCATGTAAAAGTAAGACTATTTGCAATAGGAAATATTAAACCTGGTGAGTTCTCTCAGCCGGATCTTGCATAGAGTGATTTTGATCAGTAGCGTAACACTGTTCAGGCTAGATGTTACAATTCAAGTTCCTGCTTGATTATTACTAGCCTGATACAGTAAAGTCACTCTTAGTTTCCTTGATGAGGATCACATCTCTTTCTTTACTGTTCCTTTATTTCTTGTTTGTAGTGTTTACAGCCATTCCTCAGTCTCCTGAAAACACTGAAAGAGAACCATGCAAGGAAAGGAGCTCACCTTCCTCCCTGAGAACACAGAGCACAACTGAGGAAAACTGTCTCACCTCTCAAAGGCAACCAATTTCTCCTGCAGACAAAGACTTGGAAAGTTCCGAAGAGAAAACTAGTTTGTCCTGCCCGGGTGACACCAGAAAAAGCAGCACAGCTGAAGACTTACTTCAGAATGGTGATCTGCTGGGACAGATAGCCGAGCTCACACGGCAGAACTCTCTAATTAAAGCTCAGCTGAGCAAATTTAGAGTCTTCTCTGAAGATACAAGTGACTGCCTGCATCAGCCAGACCCAATACAAAAAGCAAATTCTAGTCCAGACTCTTCACAAGGACAGGTGAGAATTTAACAGACAAGGAAGGCTGGATTCCCTTTCTGCTGATCTGCTTTCCCATAGCTTACTGATGCTTTAAGACTGTTTCTTTCCCATTGTCAGTTGTTTTAAGGAAAAGAGTAGCAACACAAATATTCATTCATTTGCTTGAAGACTTGTAATTTTTTTTTATCATTCCCTAAGAAGCTCAACAGTAGTTTCTCATATTGAGCATAACTTGTATACGAGTGCTGAAACACGTGCACCACATTTACAAGTTTAGGATAAAGTCATGCTGCAAAGTGTGATTGCAACGTGATCAGGTATACCTCTTGTAGCTTGGATAATATTAACAGTGAAAGCACTGCACCAACCCACAGGTTCTTGTCAAGCTTGTAAAATACATATTTAAATCCATGCCATACATCTGCTACTGTGACCCAAAAGCCCATGAGATTAAAGTTGGTGCAAGTATGTATCTTGCAAATACTTAATTATAGTGTATGTACTAGTTGGCACTGTCTTGTCTGTCATGCTGTGTGGTGAAAGTCCCTAAATCTTTGGGAAAGAGAGAACTTGAATGCTTCAGTTCACATAGGAAAAAAAAAAAACTTTCAATCTGCAACTCAGCAGCTACTCAGTGGCAACGCAGTCAGTGGAGTTAACATCACAGAAATGCCTAATCCCTGTCCTTGCTGCTGTCTTTTATTCCATCTCAGTGGCTGAATTACTGTTCACTTAAGGATCCTAAAGATTTTAAATTTCCTCATGCACACGTTGGCTGAGAGCATGGTCGCTTTCCACGTTGTATTAAATTGTGTAATGTTTAGTCATTTAGTTGCATAAGATGATGCAAACTTTTAAAAGTGATGGTTTTATGGAAGCAATTACTGGAGGGGGAGGGGAAGGGGTCAAAGGGGATGAAAATCTGATTTAAAGATGAATTCCAGGGTACTTCTGCTGGAAATCTGCTTTTGCTTCCCCACACCATCCTGAATGTGTGTCTCTGGTTAAATATTTTCTTAATTATGGTTGATTGCTGGATGGTTGGCGTGTTTTGATTGTTTTAATGATACAGAAAATAGCTGTTTTTTTCCTATTTGTAGGAAGACCGATTTAAAATATTGTTGTGTTTGGTCAATTAAGGTCCTCGATCCAGGACAGTGGAAGGGACAAAATCAGATTTTTTTCACAGGACTTGCTATTTAATTACGTTTACTTTCAGTTTGAAAATTAAATGCATAGAAGTACTTGAAATATATTGCATGCTCTCCCTGAAGGTGCAAATTGTAAGTTTTTAATTGGAAGTAATTATCCAATTATCCAAGTAGACTCATCCTGTGGTATCGAAGAGCTTGGAGGAAAGAATAGCAGAGCTGAATCGTCAGAGTACGGAAGCACGTGATAAACTGTTGCAGCTAATAGACCAGCAGAAATTGGCTGCTGCCGATATGGTCCCTCCAATGATATCTCCTGTTCTGCCCCCATCCCTAAATTATACTGGTAAGTACCCAGCTTCAGGAGAAACAAAAGCTACTAAGACAGTGGTTTTTCCCCTTTGGGGAGTCCTCTGTCCTTATCTGATTGGATCAGCAGTTGTGGTTAGCAGTACACTTGCTGTTAATGACCGTTGTGATGCAAATACTCCTTACTTTAAAGAGCTAAAAATATATCAGCTACACTTCTCCCAAAGTTAGTTTCTTGGCAATTAGTCTGCTGCAAATATCATGCTTCCTGGTAAATCTGTTCTTTGTTATGTCCTTGTCTGCAGAATGGTTCTGCTACATAGTCACTGATGGGTGGAACTAGGCTTTTTCATCAGTCCTCTCTGCTGGAGAACCTTTTATAAAAAGACCAAGTATTTACATTGGGCTTCTAGAAATCACGGCAGAGTGGTTATGTAATTCTCAACCACATTTTGGTCTTTTGGGTGATCTTTCCATCAGACTACCTTGCTGAGTTATTGCCAGTGCTAATAGAAAGAAATAACTGAAGCTTCCAGTCATCTGAAGAGATAAGTTAGTGAAGGGAATATTCTTGCTGACTCCATAGACTAACTGCCATGCGTAACTTTGAACAAAAGTACTCTCCAGCAGGTGAGGGCTGCTTTACCTTTTCATGGAGTCATTGCAATTACAGGCAGAACTGTGCATGAGCATGTGCACGTGCTCTGCCTAGGACACCCGCCCTTTTCCCCCTTCCTAAACCACAGAGGATGTATAAAGGGAAGGACTTGGAGGGGGAGGAAGAGACAACATGTGTCTGCATATGTATGCAGGTGCATATGCAATGACTCATGCAGTGGGATCATAACACTTTTAACACTTCTGTGGCTGTTGTAACATGAATTCAGCATGGTAAGTAAAATCTTAAAGGAACAAAGTAGAGAAATGGGAAATCTCTAAGCCTCCGGTTACCAAAATCCGAAAGGTTTATCTTTGGAAGAATCATTCTGTATCTATGCGCGTTGTCCATAGTCTCTCTGAGTATCTGCTTTGAATATCTGTCAAAGAGTGGGTATGGGGTTGGTGTTTAGCCCGATGTTTTAAGTCTGCTCTGTATATTCTGTGCAGTTGTGAAGAGTCATGTGATGCCCTTCAAAGAATGGGAAAATGAAATGAATGTAGTGAAATGTTGCTCTGTTCTCATCAACATTCAGCTATTATTTATTGCCTAGAAAATGCAAGGAGGACAATTGAAGTGTCTATTCCTGTGGCAGTTGCTATGGACAGCTCCAAAGATGATAGTGTCTCCCCTGCCAGCATGACCAGTGTAAGAAGGTAAAAGTTAACCCTTTACTGTTTCATTTTTGTGGTGTTTTGATTTCCCATACAGCAAAACTTGAACACAGTGGGAAAATTGCCATATTTTTCTTTGGCTTCATGGACTTTCCCTGACTTCATTACACTCAACTCTGTGGAAATGGGACAAAGGTCCAATAGCTTTTTCACAGCTTCCATTGTTTGTATTTAAAATACCCGCAGTGTAACATAAGACAGATGGCATGGATTGTTAAAGACTATTGATGAGGGGTCCCAACTCAGGATCTGAGACACGATTCTAGTAGTCACTTCCATTTTTCACTTTTTCAATCTCATTTTGAATGTCTACAGGTCTGTAGGAGACTCCAGCAAACCCTGTTCACCCCTAAGTGCCACATCAGAAAGTGTGGAATTAACTCCTGTCAGCCAAAGGCCAAAGGTAAGACTGAAAAACCTTCAGCCAGAAAGTCTTGAGTGTGGTGTCATAAAAGGAAAAATCGAGGCAGATAAAGAAGGGGAGAGAGCTCTGTCCTACCTGAACTCTACCGAGGCTTATAGTAGTCGGATTCATGGCAGTTTGGATTCTGGACAATTTGTAAGGGGAGGAGACCTGAGTGCTAGTGACATCAGTTGTTTGCTGCCACAGAGCTGTTATTTACAAGTGAATAATCCTGTAACTACACTTTCTGCTGTGGCATCTTCACGTGTTAGAACTGTGAACCTCTGGCAGTCTTTCACTGGTGGCTCCAGAGAATTTCAGGTAATCGTTATGATGTGCTGGTCGAGCCACACCTAAGAGACAAGTGAGCTCTTACCTAGCCATTGCTCAAGCCAGTTGCTGAAGGATAAATAAATCCAAATGCAAAGAAAAATAACCAGTCTGCATTTCTGATTCCCAATGTGCAAAGAGAAGAACAGACTACAGTGAGATGCTTTTGTGGGGAACTCCAGGCAGTAGTATGGTCTGGTAAACCAGTCCTATATCTGTTTGTATGCTTGAAAGCAACTGTGAGGAGATTATTAATACTGTCTTTCCTGATGTCCAAAATTACCTAAATTAATAAAGAGAAACAAAGTTAGGGTCCAAGTCTCCCTATCCTGACAGCAAAGTATATGTCCCCAGAGGGGAAATACTTAAGGTAGATGTGGCTAAAACTAGGTGTCTAAAGTAGGTGGTGTGACTGCCTCTGTGCTGCCTATGGCAGACAATTTCTACACATCAGTGAACTGATACCTATCAATCCCACGCGAGCCAGCACTAACTAGCAAGTCTGTGGGAAGCTTATGATGTATGAATTTCAACTGGTTTCTTCTTTTGCAGGTGGAAAAGCCAAAAGAAGAAGGTTGGTTTGCATTGTCAATGCATGTTATGTAAAGGAAGCTGCACTCAAGTCATGTATTTTTTTTTATAATTTTTTTTATGAACCACAACTAGATCACTATAATTCCCCTCTCCAGATGTACAGTTTAACCCTGAAGTGCTTTCATGTCAGTGCCATTAGTATAAAAAGGCCCATATGCTTATTGCATTTGTGCCATACAGAGCGCTATAGGAAGCCCTGGGAATGAGTTTCTGAACTGGGATATGCTGCTGTGACATCACTGCGTTTCACTGAATAAGTCTTTCACAAGATTGCAAACTGAGACTGCTGTAGCAATACAAATGAGCATTTGATATCTGTGTTAGATATGCTAAAGACAGAAGGTTTTAGAAACTGCATGTGAAACTTTCTGGAGCATGTATTCGCTCAAGAAACAGGAATGAAAAAACTAAGAAAAACTGAGATGAGGGAACGTGTGATGTTCAAAAGCACCCTGGAGATTAGGAAGCCAGTTCTATTCCTGCTTTAAGAATTTGCATCAGAAATAATTTGTTCCTTCTGTGGTTTACAGTTGCTCCCAAAAGTTACATTTTCTGTGCAGCTAACATGTCAGGGATTACATCTGGACTTGAGGATTGCTTTTAAAAAAAGTAATTTTAATTTTTTATAGTAAATATAAAGTGACTATTTCAAGTTGAAATCGGGATCTCTATTTGCTACGTACTAAAGTATGCTCTCTTTGATACAATAGAAAATGTGATATAATTGTATTAAGCTGGTTTATGTATATATAATATTCTAATTACTATGTTTTTATATTGGTTTTATTTTTTAAAGTCACCATCATTTTATTAGTAATGATTAACAATAAAATCTAGGACTGTGAGGAAATGCTTATATGTCTGTTCCTTACATCATAGTAAACCTGGGCAAAAACCTTTTCAATGGAGATTTTAAAAAAAAAAAAAGAAAAAGAAAAAATCTGCAGGTCTCAAAACTGGATTTTGAGTAAAGTTGTTTTTCTTTTTTTAACTGTTAAATTTGCCCCTTTAAGATATCGATGGGGTGGGGCATTAAAAGGGGCCAGCGCATATCCTTTCAATCAGTTCAGTTTTAGGAGAATGAAGAAAAGATACTTCTCTTTTTCTTTTCCTTTTTTTACTTTTTTTTTTTAGGGCGGGTTTTCTTTTAAACAGATTTAGACAAATCTAAAGAAAATGGGATTCAAAAGAAGACCTGTTCAAATATTCATTGGCACTTCTGCAGTTTATTTTTCCAGTGTTAACTTTGGGAAGTGAAGAATGCCCATAGTCCCAAATTTTGTGAAGTAACAGTTAAAACTGCTTGGAAGAAGTCCCCCGACTCATGTAGAGGCAGGGATGCCAAGGCTGGGGGGGGCTGCATAACCATTGTGCCCACGCATTAGCACAGTTACTTCTGATTTCCTCCAAACCAATGGTTGCTACAAATGCTCTGGAATGTCTGAGATTTCCTTTTGGAATACATGATTGGAATTAACCTTTTGAGTCATCATCTGGTTTCCTTAACTTAGAAGCTGCTCTATCAAATCACTAATTGTTTGTAAGTTGAGTCACACTCGGTGACATGAGAAATACCACTGGTTTTCCTTCACATCATTAGTGAAATCTGTGTCTCCTTGAGATCAGTAGAACTCAGGTTCTGCAGGACCGCAGGTCTGGCTTCAGAGTCAGGGCTAGTGACTCCATAAAACTGTAGCCACGTTAGCAGAGCGGCACATTCAAGCTAGTAACTCTTTTCTCTGGGCACAGCTGACTAGCCCAGCTGCCACCTTGCGCTGATGTGGCTAGTCTGGTGCCAGAGCTCGCTTTCAAACAGGCTCAGTGCTCTGCGCTCATCTCAGAGGCAGGAATGTGTTCCTGGGTGTCTCCAGTCACCCTACCACCAACTTCTCCACACCCTCTGGATAGGGGTAGGCAGCTTTCTACGGCTCAGGCTGAGGTCACACAGGTGTCACGGCTAAAAACAAGCCGCAGCTGTGCTGTAGTGGAAGTGTGTTTGCTGGAGCTCCTAGGCTAGTATAAAGCTGAAAGCAGTTGCTGAAAAACTGTGTTACTGTTTGGGGTTTTTTTTCCCCTCTTCTAGACCAAGCGAAAATCTGCAGCTGTCACTAGCAGTAACACATCTGATTTTTTGTATCAGATGAAGGAGAGAGTTTTAGGGCTTCACGCGATCTTTCTTTTTCAATTGTGTTGGATTGTAGAAAGCCTGGTATCATCTAGTCCCAGTGCTCTGTCAGTGCAGTGTGTTTTATTGCCAATGACTTTCTGATTTTGCACGATAAACGCTTTACTGCCTTGCTTCCTTTTTTTTCCCAGGCCTTTCATGTTCTTCCTTTTTGTCTTAAATGTCAGCAGAAGGACATTTGGTAAGCACAATAGTAAAGAGTCAGATACAGAGAAGAGCTGCAGCCTTTGTTTTCCTCCTCTTTTATCAGGTGTAACCACATGGGAATTCGTTTCCCTTTGAAAACGTTTCCTTTGGACAGCATGGGAAAGTTTCCTATACCTATTTTGATGACAACATTCTAAACTAAAAACTTTGTTGCAAATAGCAGTTTCATTTTATTTTTGGAAATGAGAAAACTCTTAGGGATTTTTCTTGGGTTTTTGATTGTTTCTTCTTTCATAGTCATTAATTCTTCTGCAGTTACATGAAAGGAGGCTCTCTGCAATGTGTAGCCTTGTTTGGGTTCTGATTTGGTTTTGAAATATTAAATAGTTGATATGGAGCTGAGAAATGAAGTTCCGAAACAGATCTTACTTTCTGTTTTTAAGCTTACACCCACTTGTTCCAGTTTCTAGAGGGAAACCAAAAATTCTGGAGGTATGACACTTTAATTTTTGTTTTACATTAGGATTTACGAGGACATACAAAGTCCGTAAGCACTTTTTAAACAGACAAGTCCAAATGAGAGTATTTCCCTCTGAAACCTTTAGCTATTCATAATTGCCAACTCTATTAAGAAGGCAATCTGGCACTGTCGATTCATGTTGTCTAGGTGAGTGTTAAGATCACCACCCTAATGATGATGATGCAGCCCTACAGGTCTGAGGTGACAGGGGCTGTTGCTGGCATGGAGAGGAGGAGGTCACTCCTACAGCCTGGAGAACCTCTGTGATTATGACAGAGAAGGGAAGGCTACTATGGCGAAATAAGGTCTAGTTTAAGGATGCTTTTAGAGCCACACTTGGAGAGGAAGGTGCAGAGCTCTATGGGTCCAGAACACTGGAGGAACACAGACACTACCATGAGATGCTTAATCTGCTTAACGCATTAATAAAAACTTGCTGCTTTGTTTATCTTAGCTTTTTTTCAATACTTTTTCTGAGGCTGAAATTTTTGCATAGTGCAGTAAATTTAAATGCCTGAGGCTAATTAAACCCCGTGGTGTCTGAGTACCTTGCTTTTGCCAAAGTTTGGGATGTTTTTATCTGCAACTTGTTTCTCTAAAAACACAAGACATAAGGAGCTTTATGTAACAAGGGAAACTTCAGGCACACGGTTTGAGATGCTCCTCCTGATAGCTGAAATACAGTGTCTGGATATTCAGATCAGCTGTGGTTATACATGTGTTGCTTTTCAGTGTCTATAGTATAACATCAACTATTTTATTGTAATACCTGCATGTGATCATACTGAGGAGCTTCTTTATTCAGCGGTTTATCTATGCGTTTTGGCAGGCACAGCTTAGTTTGTGCCTTTGGATGGGAATATTGTAAACTGTCAAGGCTAGATGAGGAATTCCATGCAGCAGCACAACTCCCGTGTCTCTAAACCTAGTCCCTGCACAATCCTTATTGAGCCCGATGTTCTACAAACAAGGCTTTCTGTTCAAGGGTTCCGGCTTGCACTTTTAGCCTGCCACAGAGATAAAGCTATGCCTCTAGGGACACAGACTGAGGCGTAGATGAAGTTTAAAAAGTGGATCCACTGGATGGAACGATATTTGTCATAAGGTGTCTGTGTAACGCTTAACCTGGGTTAGGGGCAAGCCTGCGCTGTGCTGGGCCGTGCATGCAAGATGGCCTTCAGGCTGTGTTGTGCTGCGCGTACCCCTTGGCTGCAGGATTAACTCAGCCAGCTCATTGTAACAGAGGAGCCTGCAAGCAGCTCCCACTTGATGATTGCACCATGTGCAGCAGGAAGTCCCTACGTGAACTCCTCTTCTGTAGAAATGATTAATAGACTTTTTTTTTTTTCATGTAAGAAAGCCATGTAATAGCTTCAGTTGCTAAATAGGAGCTTCTCTCTATGGATGGGACCTGTGCAGTGTGCTGTGGGAGAAATCCATCCAGGGATCACTCTGTCTTATTAAAACAGTTTATAGAATACAAGGATGAGCAGGTTGGCTGGGAGACACGCAGCTGCTGCAGTCCCAGCTTTGCTGTTTTGGAATTGGTCATTAACCACAGCAGCCTCTCTGGGAAGAGGCATGGGAATCAGTTTTCATGTACTAAAAATGTCCCTTTGAGTGATGCATGCTTAGCTTTTTACATAGTGGATGTTATCCACTGAATGTGAGATCTCCACAAAAGCACTTACCTGATTTTTTTAGCTGGGGAAACTGAGGCACAGAGCAAGACTCTGGAAAATTCCATGTTTCCTAGTCCCAGCACAACACTGCCTCACCCCTGGGCTGGTCTCTGAGATATGGTTCCCCAGGACTGTGAAAGATGTGTCCTGGAATAGATGCAAGAGTGAGGAGTCCTGGGTCCTGCTCTGTAGAAACATAAGTTTTGATCAAGGAAATCCTCACAATATTTACATTTCTGCTCTTCAGGTTGAGCGCACCCCCCATCCTGACAGGTGCCTTGTATGTGGTCCTGTGCCATGGCAGGATTCGCAAGCATCCTTGTTCTTTTGTCTTCCCTTCTGTGGCCCTTGAATGCAGGGGTACTAATGGGGGGGGGGGAGGGGAGGCTTTCCATAACGTGGAAGAGGAACCCAGAAGTCTCTGAAGAGAATCTTTTTTCTCCTGCAAATAATGGACAGGTAGAAGTATTTATACATATTCCTTGTATTTCAGTTCTTAG